CTGCCTGCCACAGGCAGGTGCTTCCTTGCCATGAACAATGTGAATTCTGTCCTGCCCCAACATGGCCCAAAAGCTGGGATCTCCCCATTTAATGAGTTCTGTTGATATCTCTCAGTGGCAAAGAATGCAATTACCCAGTAGGACTTTTGTGGAGTTAATTTTACAGCTTCTGGCAGAGCAAAGGTCATCTAGGAGGAGCAATGTGAGATGGGGCCCAAAAGCATTGTTTTTTAATCCAACACCTGCAGCACGTGCTCCCATTAAGGAGGGGGTCATGTTCAGTGGCAAAGGAGGTCAGAAAGGGGGCAAGAATGGCCAGAAGCTCATTCAGGGGTCACCTGCACCAGGTTCCCTACTCTTCCATGTAAATCCATAATGAGGGTCTTTCTGTTACATTTTAGACAAGAAAAGCAAAGCTCAGAAAGATTAAGCAACATCATCCTTGGTCACGCAGCAAATGGCAGAATCCACATTCAAGCCAGGCACAAGGGCTCAGTCTGCAACTTTAAAATCACTGTGATTGCTTAAGACCTGTTACAAGTTAACTCACAAGCACTTTTGGTTGTTTCTGCTATAGGAAAGAGACTGTTTTGATCTTTAACACTGTTTCAATATTCCTAAACTGCTCTTTTGGAGGTTCTCAGAGTATCATGTATTCTCATTTTGTAGATGAGGCAATCTGGATGGAGAGGAGTTATCTCTAAATGTCTGGGAGGCCAGATTAGCCACGGCTTTGGGATCCAGACCAACTGCTGCTCAGAGTCTAGACTTTTGGTCAGCTCACCAAGCCACGTGCATGCATCTCAGTTCCCAGGGTTGGCCTGAGTTAGTGGTTAACTTTGTGTGTCAACTTGGCAAGTATTTTGGGGTGAGATTCACATTTAAATCAGAGAACTCTGACTAAATAGACTGTCTTCTATAAAGCAGTAGGCCTCCCCTAGTGAGCTGGAGGCCTGAAAAGAACAAAGACTGCCCCCACTGAGTCCCAAGCAAGAGAGACTCCTGCAGAGAATCCTCAGGCTCCTCTGAACCACCATCAGCCCTGCTGGGTGCCCAGAATACCAGTACACAGTGGAGATACTGGACTCACCTGCGTCCATAATCACATGAGCAAATTCCTTATACCAAAATCTCCCTACATACTCATATCCTGTCAGTTCTGTCCTCTGGGGAATCCTAATATAGCGGTTAACCTCCGAGAAATCACTGAGAAAACTCAGCTTAAGGAGGAGGTACCTGCCTCTTTTAATCCTTTAAACATACAAGGACAATGCTGCATTTCCATTTAATAGATGAGGAAACTGTGGCCTGGGCAGGTGAACTAAAACATGCAGTCACACAGCAACTTAGTGACTGATACAGAAATAACTTCACCCCTCTAACTCCAAAGTCCCATGCTCCTTCCACTGCCTTGGCTCCCACACTCAACAGCCACATTTTGGGGAGAAGTCCACAAACACTTGACTACTGGCCTAAGATCCCTGCCACCATCGTCCCTCACCAGTCCCTGTGTGCCAGCTTATAGCTTAAGGTCTAAAATTCATGTCATGTGCTGCCTAGATTCCAAAAACTGGAACAACCTCTAATGGCCTAACTGCAGGTGCCTTCCCCACTCTGCCCTTGCGAGGGGTCCCGTCAGACCACCCTCCTTATCACAGGGCTAAGTGTTCTGGGTACCTGAGAGGACTAAGATGTCTCACTCCTGGATGAACCCAGGACACCCGATTGATCTGACCACCTCCTTCTTTACCCTTCCTGAGTTTCAAGCCAGGCTGTAGCCAGCTCTTCTGAGACACCTCACCCTGTTTTCCCATGGACATCTCCTAATGCAAACCTACTTATGTTATTGTTGGTCCCCCAATCACATCAGCTCCATGAGGGCAGAGATGAATTTCTGCTGTCCTCTGATATGTCCTCCAGAGCCTAGAAAGTACTTGATAAACATTTCTTGAATGAACAAAAAAAGCAATGAGCAGTCATGTATTCCTTTCATTATCCTCTCACCCCAGCTGCTGAGCAGTGCTCTACTCCAGGTCTGATCACCATGGGCAGAAGCTAGTATAGGTATCTGGCCCTACTTGCCCTCGCCCTCATCAAGGGGCAGTGGGCCTGAAGTGACAGTGCCTTCCAGCCTAGGAAATACAATTGCTGAGTAGATTCATAGTGGGAACAGTGACCTCCAGTGGCCATGAGAAGGGGTGTGTGAACAGTGTCTGGAGCTTGGATACACAGGGGAAGCCTATGATTTTGGCCACTCATTCATTTGTGCACTCTCACTAAGTTGCTGAAGCTGGCTTTGAACTTGCAATCCTTCTAGCTCAGCCTCCTGTGTTGTTGGGATTGCAGGCCTACGCCACCATGTCCCTGGCTCTGTATGCTGTTTTTGCTCAATTTCTCATTTCAGCATGGATGGCTCTCCTGCCTTTGCTCCTATTCCCCTCCTCTACCAAGAAGGTAAAGAGGCTTCCAGGCTTTCAGAGCTGCAAAGGACCCTGTGGGAGTACGCGAGACTCCAAAGTGGGAACAGGAGTAGACCAGTCCATCTTCTAGCACTCAGGATATCCCCAGAGCTGAAGCCTCAGGGCCACAAAGTTGCTTAAAATGGACACTGACAACTATTTTGGTTAGAAGGGTCAGGGCACTAGCAAAGTGGCAAGTGCTTTCAGCAAAGACAACAGGGGCAAAACTGAGCAAAGGAGGACCAAATAAGACCTGACTGGCTGCTACCCACTATGGCATCCAGACTGCCAGGGAGCCTTACCTGTGGGCGCCTCCTTAAGGCTGGTCAGCCTGGTTATCACTGCAGGCCCAGAGGCCCCTGCACCCTGGTGCAATGGAGGCCCTGCCTCTACTGCCTCTCCCCTCAGTGCTATCCAGGCCACCCATCAGCATCCCTCCTGAAACACCGAGGCAGAGGCAGACCCTGCCCTTGTCACACTTGTTCTCCCAGGCAGTTTTCTGGGCCTCATTCCCTTCCAGCCACCTAGCAGCAGGGACTAATATTCAACAGCAGACTTACTGGAGACATCTGGAAACAACAAAAACCCCATATGAACCCCACCCAGAGTGGCGGACTGTTTGTAAGAGGACAGCACCTGGCCTGCAGGTGGGCTCCTGCGCAAAAGGCATCCCCAATGAATTATGCAGACAGACCCCAACGAATTATGCAGATAGAGATGGGCTGGGTTTTAGACCACAATGAAGTGACATCACCTGTCATTTATTGCCAATTTTATCATGTATATTCAAGAGTGATAGCTGATGAACAGGCAGTTAGTAGTCTGGCTGAAGGTGTGTCCCTGCCTCCCCCTTAATCCCCCCATTTTAGTTGTATAAGAAACAGATTTTTAGGGCTGGGGATGTGGCTCAAGCGGTAGCGCGCTCGTCTGGCATGTGTGCGGCCCGGGTTCGATCCTCAGCACCACATACCAACAAAGATGTTGTGTCCGCTGAGAACTAAAAAATAAATATTTAAAAAAAAAAAAGAAACAGATTTTTAAAACCTGACACTGTCCCTGCCTTGAGTGTGGCTGGGAGACAGGCTGCTCACTGAGATCAGGAACATGTGATCAAAATGATCAACAACCACCAGCTACATGTGTGGTTTGTAGCTGTTTATCTGGCGGGGGCCCCAGGCCTAGGGGTGATGTCAGTTCTTGGTGTGACCTCAGTGCACAGCTACAATTTAGAACCACTGGTCAAAAGGGACAGTACATGACAAGTTGAACCTTTTCCTTCTTGATGTAACCCACATCTACATTATGACAAATGCATACACATTCACCTGTCAGTTCCCCATGCCATAAGTCATCCTGGCTTTACACCTTCTTATCTAAAGAATGGCAAACTCCTTCTGGTTTACCCAGATGTGGATTAAGCAACAAACTGATGCTTCTTCCCATTTTCTTTGTTGTTATAGACAAAGAAGAATGTTCTTCCTCTCCTCAGCCCACTCCACCCTTCACTCTGTGGTCTGTTCCAGCCTGGGAAGGAAGCACTGGGCTCACCACCCTTATCTGCATGGCTTGTCCAGGCCATGTGTGAAAGCAGCAGGCATCATGCAACTCGTCAGCACAGTAACTGCATGAGCTTCTAAAGTGAGCCCAGCCCATGTGCCATCAGGTAACTAACCACCTCTCAACCATATCACCCAGGAAGCACCTCCTGAGCTGAGAGGCTCCAAACTCCCAAGATGGCCGCCCTCAGACGACAAGAGCCCCTCCTACACCCAGCACCAACTCTCACATTTATTCCTAATAGAAAAAGAGAACATATGATTTTCCCGGATCCCAGGGAAAGCAAGAGACATAAACTGCTGGTTTTTCTTTTTTTGGCTTTGAAAAGCCAATCTAAAAAGTAAACCTATTCAGATACAAATTGTATCTGAAGTAAAATCTCAGCTGTCTTTAAAAAGAAAAATCCATAAAAATGCTAAGAAGAAAATATGCTTAGAAATCAACAAGAGTTTCTTCTAATAGTGAGATAATGAGGGAGTCTCACCTCCAGTCCCCATTTATTTTTTTTCTTCACTGTAGTTTACTAATTTTCCAGAATGAGCATTATTACCTTTAAAATCAGGGAAAAAACATAACTTCTAAAGTTTGAATAATCAACTAATTAGAAGCTAAATCTAATAATCACTTCTAACATTCTAAAAATCAACAGCATAAACCTCCTCAAATCTCTTTCTCTTCTCTCTGCTCCTGTGTTGCAAGTCCCCCACAGCATAGCTGTACTTTCCTGACAGTTTCAAGGAAGGATTTACTGATTTTCACCTCAGATAATGTTGAATGCTCCAGTTTCAGAAACTCACCAAAAAGAGGATTTAGTCTATTACAACAGACACATCCCCATGGTAAAGATGGATACCAAATACAAAGTATGCGTATTTCTGGAGAAAAATCAGTACATGTGCTTTTTCTGTTACAGAAATCAACTTCCGAATGTCTATTTGGCTCCGATGCCACTGGCCTGGGCGTCTCCCTCCTGGCTGCCTTGCTACATGCCCAGGCACTGCCCAGCAGGCCCATGGGCAGCAGTCAAGGTCCTAGCAAGGGTCCAGGCTTTGGGGGCTTCCTTGGTCCTCGTCAAGTCTGGGCTGCTTGAGCTCTGGAGGACTGCCCTGAGGATCTCCAGGCATCTCTGAAATATCAATAAACACAAAATGGGCAAGTGAATGAGGACTTCTATAGGCTTAAAGCTGACATAACAAAACACAGAGCCAAGATGAGGAATGGAACTGCCAGCAAGAGCCTGTGTTGCTAAGATGGGATCTATACCACAGTTCTCCATCGGGGGCAACTGTCTGTCAAGGGAAGTGGGCAACGTTTGGTGACATTTGAGAATGTCACAGAGCAGGGGTACAATCTGGGGATGCTGATAATACCCCACAATAGAACAAAATTATCCTGCCCAATCACGAAGTCATCAGGTCWAGAAACCCAATCTAGACCACTCTTCCTGAACCCAAGACAGATCACAGGGATTGCCTTATTCTAAGATAAACATCCAGGCAGGGATTCTTAGAAGACAGCTGCATCAGGATGCATCCTTGCTCTCTTAGAAGTGATATAAAATTGGGTGGTGCTAATTTCCAAAAGAACAAAAGAGAAGCATTAAACCATTAACAACATCACTTACCTAACTGAATTTCTTCTGTGGAAGAGGTAGAAATTATACTGGTTGGTACAGAATTTGGTGGTGTATCTGTCTTTAAGGGTGTTAAATTTATTCTCCTTGATTAAAAAAAATAAAAGGAAAGAATGACTCATTAGTATTACAAAACTTATTTATATAYGATATTAAATATCAAAACTACCAAAGTTCACCTGAGCTAGGCAAAGTGGTCCAATGCCTGTAATCCCAGTGACTTGGAGGCTGAGGCAGAAGGACTACAAGTTCAAAGCTAGCCTTAGCAATTTAGCAAGGCACTGTCTCAAAAATAAAAAAATAAAAAAAATTAAAATAAAAAAGGATAGGGATGTGGCTCAGTAGTTAAGTGCCCCCTAGGTTCAATCCCTAGTAAAAAAAAAAAAAAAAAAAAAAAAAAAAAAACCTTAGACAATCATATAGTGCCCAGTTATTTAGAAAGGATTACATCCACCTACTAAGTTTAACTATCACACTTATAATGGTCAACTCAAACCATAACCAGTCATCTAAAAGCTTTAAACAAAAGTTGAGTTCTGTTAATTAACAATGGTCCAGTGAGCACCTTACTGAATACTGCATACATAAGGTTATCAAAATTTCTACATATGGAAAGCACCAAACATAGATAATCCTTTTTTTAAAATCCAGAGCCTTAATTTTTCAATGACTATTTTTCTCTTTTTAATTACAAATGCAAGAAACTTGGTAAATAGTTTAGAAGAAATCAGAAGAGGAAAGCAATTTAATACCAAAAATATTTCAAAGAATGCCTCCCACTATCTAAAAACACACAGAAAAAAAAACAAAAAAAAACCCATACTGCTATTCTGTAGAAATGAGAGATTTAGAAAGAGCTGAGCACTACACCTGAACCACACTGTGACTAAGCCAATAAAGACATAAGAGCACAGCAGAGAATGGGGGCTGTGCCTCACCTCCCCATCCTGCCCTGCCATCTCCCTCTCCACTAGTCCATCTGGAACACGAGGAGGTAGAGGGATTGGTGGAGAGGAAGTGCAGAGTCACAGGGGATAACTGGGCATCAGAGGTAAAAAGAAAGGAAAACCAAAGGCCAGCACTGCTTGGCGAAAGAAGGACATGTAAAGCAGCTCTGTGGCGGGGGCAGCAACGTGGATGAAGTCAGCTGACTGGTGAGAAGGGGGAGAAATAGCCATAGCATCACAGGGAGCCCTTTGTTCCTGGGGACCAGGTAGCTCAGGAAGACATTCCTTATAAACAAACGAGCACTACTCTGCCACAGAAAGGAGGGTATCTGRCATTTGCAACAACATGSATAAACCTGGAGGACATTATGGTAGGAAACCAGGAACAGAAGACAAGAACAACATAGTTGCACCATCTAGAATCTAAAAAAGCTGATGTCGTAGAAGTCAAGAATAGGAAAGTGGCCACCAGAAACTGGAGGGCAGGGTGGCAAGAGGAGGAGGGATGGGGAAAGCTGGCCAATGGGTCCAAGGTCAGCAAGATAGGAGGAATGGATTCTACTGCACAGCAGGTGATGTGGTTACAACAAGTGGCGTGCATTTAACACAGGATCCTGAATGTTCCCCACCATGCAAATGGTAAGTGTTTAAGATGATTTGATCAGGACATGAGGTATACATGTATCAAAATACTGCTGTATATGGGGCTGGGGTTGTACCCAAGTGGTAGAGCACTCACCTAACATGTGTGCGGCCCGGGTTTGCTCCTCAGCACCAAATAAAGAAAAACAAATAAATGTATTGTCCATCTACAACTAAAAATATTTTTTTAAAAAATATTGCTGTGTACCCCACATTAACATACAGTTATTATGTGCTAACAGCCAGGCATGGTAGTGCATGCCTGTAATCCCCAGCAACTGGCAGACTGAGACAGGGGGATTATAAATTCAAGACTAGCCTCAGCAACTTAATGAGGCCTTAAGCAATTTAGCAAGATCCTGTGTATCAAAATTTTAAAAAAAGGGTTAAGTGCTCCTGGGATTAATCCCCATTACCAATTAAAAAAAAAAATAAAGAACAAAATAAGGGGCTGGGGCTCAGAGGCAGAGCGCTTGCCTAGCATGTGTGTGGATTCTCAGCACCGCATATCAATAAATAAAATAAAGGTCTACTGACAACTAAAAAAAATTAAAAGAAAAGAACCAAATAAAATGGRTAAAGGTGCACTGTAAGTCCAGTTACTTAGGGGACTGAGGCAGGAGGATCTCAAGTTCAAGGTCAGTCTAGGCAACTTAGCAAGAACCTATCAGAAAATACAATGAAAAGGGCTGGAGTATAGCTCAGTGCTGGCTTAACATGTGCAAGGTTACAGGTTCAATTTCCAGTATCTCAAAAAAAAGAAGGCACTTGGCTATAGCTTGACTGAGTGTTGCCCAAAGGCCCACATCTAAAGGTTTGCTCCCAAGACTATGGCACTACTGGGAGAAAAGAGCCATTGTGAAGTAACGGTGGAAGTAAGATCCTGGCAGACATGTTCTTGAAGGGGATTTGGGTTCCCTGGCCTTTTCCTCCCTATCTTTGCTTCCCAGACTCCATGAGTGAGCAGGCTGCTCCACCACTGTTCCTGCCACAATGCACTAGGCTACCACAGGCCTAGAGCAATAGGACCAAGTGACTATGGACTAAAACCTCTGAAACCATGAGCCAAAGAAAGACATTTATTCCTCCTTCTAGGTTGACTTGTCTCAGACATTTATCTCAGTGACAGAAAGCTAACCAGCACTCCCTTTTATTTCCCACCTGTCATGAAGCACCTGGTACCATCTTAGGAAAAAGAACACAGGTACAAAATGAGGACATATTTCCAGGCTCATAATCTAACAGAGGAAACCGAGACCTAAACCAAACATCTGCTATTGAATGTGATGGGTGGTGACAGAGTAAAGGGCTGAAGGGCCACAAAGTCCTTAAACAATGAAGACACACTCAGATGGGTCTTTCAGGAGGACTTTGGTGTTACTAAGGGGACAGACAATACAATGAACCCAAAAGAGGCTGACACAGAGGCTGCAAAGGCAGAGTGTGCTCTGGGAACACAGATTAACCACAGAGAGTGGTTATGGTCCTGGATGGCAGGCTGTGACCAAATCTCAGTCCGGGTGCCTACACAGCAGCTAGGAATGAAGGAACTGGCAGAGGCCTGCGAGCCAGAACATGACACCCTCAGATTTAATGTCAAGCAACCTCTCATAACGGTGGGAAGGACTCACTGCAGACTTCTACCTTGAACAGACGGGGAGTGTTCACTTCACAATGTCAAATTCTTGTTTTGTCAAATGTGCTTACCGGGGGGTGGTCTTGCTCCAGGCTTGTAATGTGTTCAGAGTGACCCTCCGGGATGGGTGCGCTTTCGTGTTTTGACTACTGGGCTGTAGGGTCTTCTCCTCTGAAGGCCCTGGCAAGGAGTTTTTGATGCCAGGAGTTACTGAAGGAGTGTCCTTGAGGGCTGCTGGGGCTGGAGGCTGTCCAGATGACGAGGGACTTGTAGAGGGACTGCTGGAGTCATGTATTCTGCTGCTGGGGGTCCCCTCTCCCAATCTGGGTCCTGGTGAAGATCCTTGGTGCATCTGACTTTTAGTTTTCTTTGCTTTATCAAGAGTTCTCATGCTCAAAACAGGCTTCTCTTTCAACGGAATGCCAAGTTCATCTTTCTCAAATGTCACAAATGAGCAATAACCATCTGTGGAAGAAATGGCCAGGAAAGCCCCATCGCTGGACCTTTGTTCCCAAAGCAGAGAAAAAAGTTAAAGACTTTAGTGACATTTACAACCCATATTTAACACTCTCAAGACTAATCAGAAAATAAAGTCTRATGAGCTGGGTGCAACAGCCTGTGACTACATACTACTCAGAAGCCTGATGCAGGAGGACCACTTGAGCTCAGGTGCTAAGAGTCCAGCGTGGGCAACAGGACAAGAACCTGTCTCAAAAATAAATAAATAATGGGTTGGGTTATGGCTCAGCGGTAGAATGCTTGCCTAGCACATGTGAGATCCTGGGTTCGATCCTCAGCACCACATAAAAATAAATAAACAAAATAAAGATATTGTGTCCAACTACAACTAATAAAAAGAAAAAAAAAAAAAGACCCAGATCCCAGTGGGTGGCACTACTGGGAGGTAGTGGAACCTTTAGAAGGTGGGGCCTGCTTGGAAGAGGGGAGTCACTGGGCATACCTAGGAGGGGTATATCCTGTCCCTGGACCCTGGTACACTCTCCCTTTCTGCTTCCTGGGTGCCAGGAGGTGAGAGGCTTTGCTCTGTACACACCTCCACCCTGATGTTCTGCCTCACGTTTGGCCAAAGGCTGACCAGGAACTGAAGCCTCTGAGACCAAATAAATCTTTCCTCCATAAGTTGTTTTTCTCAGGTATCTCACAGCAACAGAAAGCTGATAAACACAGCATGTAGCTAAGTCACCACAACTCATCTGCACTATTATTAACTTTCATATAAATAACAATGAGATAGATGATCTTTTCCTTTCTCAAGATAAAAAAAAAATTAAAAGAACAGAGAAATAAAAAAGAGCAATAAAGAGTAAGAAATAGATGGTGAGTGGCCAGGCCCCAGCTAAAGCAAATGCAGGTCTAGGCAGGCAGCAGAGGCCAATCAGGGACCAAGGACTGGGGATCTAGCTCAGTTGGTAGAGTGCTTGCCTCATATGCACAAGGCCCTGGGTTCAATCCCCAGCACCACAAAAAAAAAAAAAATTAGGGACCAAAAAGTGGCCGAGGGAGAGCAGAGCGCCAAGTGACACCACTTCCAACGGCTTGTCAGTGAGTTTCCTTCAGAGAACCCAACAAGATCCCAAATGATGAGGAAGGCCCTGGGGCCTCCCTGCAGTTTATGAGAGCTCCACTAGTCCCATAGGGCAACCTAAATGACATCAAACCTACAGCTGTTAAACTAGGAAACAAGCTTCACAACAAACCAGAACAGCTTTCCCTTTAATGTGACTGGCAAATGGGACCAAAAGGGCCATTTTTAGTATTGACATATCTCCTAGCCCAAGGCGTACCCTGGTCACAAGACTCTATCTCTTCCTTTGCTCACTGGCAAGCACTCACCACGAAATATCACTCAGGGTGTGGTAATGTATATTAGACACATAGCCGAAGGGGAAAGGCTGCTGGGTGTCATAGAGCAGCACGGAATCCTCAGAAGCCACTGCAAACACCACGCGGTAGGGCAGGCTCAACAGTTCCATGGCTGGCTCGCGTGATCCCTGATCTGCAGGGGAGATGGGCAGAACAGAGGACAAAACCAAGTTCCCAAAGGAAATAACCAATTCCCTCAAAAAGCCCTGTCTCAGGGAAATATAAATGAGAGCTTTACTAAAAACCAGTTTGCTGTTCTTTACAAAGAATTCTTTATATATGAATAAAAGAAATGTACAAAGGAACACAATAGTAAGGACAGTATGCCTTGGGCACCGAGGTCCAAAAAAAGATTAGAAAAGGGAAGAAGTCATTCTGAGTGGTCACGTTCTGATAAGAAAACACATGGTATATTTAGAAACATTCCACCAGGTGATGCTATAATGCTCTGTCAATCTGGCTATATTCATTTACATTAAAAGTTAAAAAGTCAAAAACAGCTTCTGCTTCCAGCAGAATAACAGGAATAACAGAGACCAACCCTTCACTTGAAAACCACTAAAATACCAGGTAAAATATATAAAGCAAGTTTTCAAAACACTAGTCATCAGGCAACAAAGGATGATCTCTGAGAGATGCAGCAAATGAGTTAAGTCCTACAATTGCCTCAAATTACTGCCTGGTGTGCTTCCAGGTGCCAAAAAGGTAGCGAAAACCTAGGTCAGGCCTCGCAGACCCCTAGTCGAGAAGACAGAGCAGGCAGCTGGGAAAGGCCAAGGCAGCCAGTACTCACAGGCAGGGACACAAAAGCTACAGAAAGAGTTGCAGAGAGCTTTGAGTCATCACCTGAGTACTGAGCAGTGCCTACCTCTGAGGACAGTACCGGAGGCTGAGCAAGATCTATCAGAAAGAAAGCAATCCCTGAAGCTCACAGCAGGCCAGGAATCCAGCCAGAATGGATGCTACAACTTGGATCTGGAATGTCCCCCATAAGCTCATGTTTTGAAAGCAAGGTCTCCAAATGCAGCAAGTTTCTGAAGTAGGGCTTTTAGATGATTGAATTTTGAGGGCTCTGACTTCAAGAGTGGATTAATCCATGTGATGGATGACAGATTAATCCATTAGCTGAATGAACTACTGGGAGGTGGGACCTGTTGGAGGAAGTAAAAGTCACTGAGGGCAGCCCCTTAGAAGGGTTTATATTGTTCCTGGCCCCTTCAAAGCCCTCTTCAGCTTCCTGGCTACCATAAGCAGCTTTCTTCTGCCACACCTTTATAACATGTTTTTGCCTTGGAGCTAACCAACTGAAACCACAACCAAAATAAACCTTTCCTCCTTTAAGTTGTTTATGTCAGGAATTTTGGTCATAGTGACAAAAAACCAACTCAGTGAGAAGCTTCATATTTCACAGGACATAGATTATTGAGAATGATTTGCCTCAAGAGTAGGGAAAATTGGCCCAAGACCAAATGCTACTGTGACGGCATCTAACAAAGCTTAAAAACAAGACCCAAAAGAATCAAAATGTTTTTAAGTAACTTCCCTACATCCCAGAGTAAACCTCAAGAAAACTTATAGGAATGAAACTATCCAACACATCCACTAAGGTAAATTTCACAATGCTTGCATAAGTTCAAAGCATGTGAGGAGCCAGGAAAATATTACCCACAATTAGGAGGAAATAAAAAAACAACCTTATGTACAAAAACATCAAGTTATTGTAACTGTACTCTATAAGCTCAAGAAGCAAGAGAAAAGAAGCAACATATAAAAGACATGGGTTGCCAGGCATAGCCGCGCACACCTGTAATCCCAGAGCTTTGGGAGCCTGAGGTAGGAGGATCAAGAGTTCAAAGCCAGCCTCAGCAAAGAGTGAGGCGCTAAGCAACTCAGGGAGATGCTGTCTCTAAATAAAATACAAAATAGGGCTGGGGATGTAGCTCAGTGGTTACATGCCCCTGAGTTCAACCCCCAGTWCCCTCCACACACAAAAAAAGAAGAGACAAGAATATACAAGAAAGACTCAAACTGAAACTAAACTTTAAGAGATGAAAACTGCATGTCACAGATGAAAAATACACTGGACAGGACCACAGGTAGATCATACAGAAGAAAAAATTAATGAACTCAAAACCCAGCTGTCAAAACTTCTAAGTCAAAGCACAGAGAGGGAAAAAAAACCTGAAAAAGGAAACGGTCATCAATAAGCCATGGGATAACTTCAAACAGCTTAATGCATCATCAAAGTCCCTGATGAATAGGACAACAATCACTTGCAAGAACACCCTAATTTGATAAAAACTATAAACTGATTGACTTAAGAAATTCAATGAACCCCCAAGCACAAGAAATATGAATAAAACTACATCTAGGCACATCATATTTATATTGCCTAAAGTCATTGATAAAAAGAAAAATCTTAAAAGCAGCTGGTGGAGGGAGTTAAAAACAAAAACCTAATTTACACATAATTTTACTGCCTAGAAAATCAATAATGAATCAGCAGAAACACAAAACTAGCACTTATATTCTCTAAAGTTGTGGTAAGCAAGAAAATGTATTCTGGACAATGGGGAAAAAAAACTGACATACATGTTGATAACATCGGTCCTTGCTCCAGCTTTTAAGGGTAACTTAACTGATAATCTCATAAAAGGCGAGAATAGAATAGCAATTACCAGATATGAGGGAGAAAAGAGGGAGAGGGAGGAATTAGGAAAGGTTGGTCAATAGGTACTAAGTTACAGAACAGGAGATAGAAATTCTGCTGTGGATGATGAATATAGATGACACGACTATCCTGTATATTTCAGAAAGCCTACAAGAAAGAATTTTCAATGTTTTCACAACAAAGAAATGATAGCTGGGCAGAGCAGTGGTGTATGCCTGTAATCCCAGTGGCTCAGGAGGCAGAGGCAGGAGGACTATAAATTCAAAGCCAGCCTCAGAAATTTAGTGAGGCATTTAGCAACTCAGCAAGACCCTGTCTCTAAATAAAATATATGAAAGGGCTGGTGATATGGCTCAGAGGTTAAGAAATGATAAATGGGGCTGGGGATGTGGCTCAAGCGGTAGCGCGCTCGCCTGGCATGTGTGCGGCCCGGGTTCGATCCTCAGCACCACATACCAACAAAGATGTTGTGTCCGCCGAGAACTAAAAAATAAATATTAAAAATTCTCTCTCCTCTCTCACTCTCTCTTTAAAAAAAAAAAAAAAAAAAAAAAAGAAATGATAAATGTTTGAGACAGATATGTCCTGATTTGAACTTTACATAATACATACATGTATCAAAACATCATATCGCACATTAACATAAATAGGTACAATTTTTAAGTATCAATAAAAAAAAGGTTCAATTTTTAAGTATCAATTAAAAAAAATGAGTGAATCAAACCCACATACACACCTTTTCCCAAAACACATGCAATCCCCACCCGACCAGTGACCTGCCTCAGACAGAACACAGCACAGCACAGCACTGTGGCCCTAAGGGTACCTGTTTCCATCAACGGCCTCAATTCAAAGTAGACAGGGCAGCAGCGAACAGCGAGTGTGGCTTTGCTAGGACACGGAAGATGGGCAATAGGCCTAAAAAATTAAACATAGTTTAGAAATAGTCACTGCTGCTCAGCAAAAGCACAAAGAGAGGGCAAGCATCTCAAATATTCCCTCTATTGTATACCTTTTGAGATTTTTCCTGGAGAAAACATAAGTTGTATTCATTACATTTTCACCGGATTCCACACACCCAGCTGTGGAACAGAAGGGAAAGAGAGGTGAGTCAGTGTTAGGTTAGACTGTTCTCCAGCAAAAGTTTAAGAGCCTTTAATTCTGGTTTGTCATTTTTCCCCCATAATGCTATTCTCTGGACAATGTTATTTTATTATTGAAGACAAGTACAAATATTCCATCACTATCTGTTCTTGCTCTTTACTCCAGTTCTACCTATCTGCATCTTCACCTGAGGGTCTGGCAGCTCCCTGGGAACTGGAACATAAAGTAGGGTACCCTTGCTATATAAAACATTTTTGAGAATCCAGGCAAATCAAGCTGATGAAGCCTGAAACTAGATCCAGCTGCCCAGGATCCGCCTAGGAGCCGACTCTCTGTCCCTGGATTTAGTCCTTGGTTGTCATCCAGAGACTGAGACCCGGGCTTTTCCCCATCTGCCTGATTCAGACTTGACTATGCGAGGAGAGCCAGCCAGTGCAGCGATTCCCAGCCTCAAGCAGAGCCTGACTGCTCTGGGGAACAGTTCTTTCTGACAGCTTGTCCTCACTTACTCTAGATGTACTGAAAGCTAGGGCAAAACCTGCCAGGGAGAGGCTGTGACATAAAAGTGCTCTTATAAACTCCTCCCTACTCCATGTTTGTATCTCTTGACACATACACATATCATTTTATATATGACCATTTCATATCTATCAGAAAGAGCAGTTAGCAGTATCAGCTGTCTATTTACTATTTCTTGCTTTGCTAACCCTCTACCCATCTTGTCCATCTTTCCACCTCCACGTAATCCATTTTAATAAACCATTATGTCACTTTTACATTTCTTCTATTCTCATATAATCAATGCAGACAGCTGTAACTCAACCACAAGTATACCCATCTGATAGATTCTTTTTAGAATCTTAAGAAATGAGATATTATTTACACTTTTCCTTATTTTGCTTTTCTTAGCCAATTACTCATGAAGGTCAATTTGTATCTACTTATTTTTGGCAACTGGGAATTGAACCCAGGGCCTGACTTACACTAGGCGAATGCTCTACTAAGAGCTGCATCCCTAGCCCTAATGCATTTTTTTCCTAGTAGCTGCATTCTATTTACTGGTATAAAACTACCTCCTCTGTTAATGAGTATTGCTTTGTGTTTGTTTTTTTTTTTTAACCACTACAATGCTTGCAATAAACATCTTTGAAACACACCTTACATAYTATGCATTTACTTTTTTTTTTTTTTAATGATTAAGGTGGTAAATTTTGTTGGGTATCTTTTACTACCATATTTAAATTAAAATACTTATCCCCATATCACCTTGCCCCAAACTATTAGCCATCTGGCAAATGTTTATTCATTTTTCAGCACATTACTAAAATGTTTTCTCCTCTGGTAAGATCTTCCCCACCCAGATAATGGGCAAGGTCTCTGGGCTCAAGGTCTTGGCTTATGCCAAACCCTGGGAGGCCTCCATGACTCTCAGGTTAGATTCCAGGTTGCATTCACTTCTTAAGGAACTGGCTCTCAGAGTGGACAGATGGACTGGATGGCACATACATTTAAATGTTACCAGACTGCTTTCCAAAATGGTGATCCATTCTCCCAGCAACAATACCCACATTCTGCATGCAATAGTATTATTTTTCCAGTCTGATGGAAATAAAGAGACATCTAGTTTTTACGATACTTCAATCTGTAATTCCCTACTGAGTTTTAGAATCCTTTTCTGTGGTCCACTCAATGTGTAGCTTTGCTCTGATACAAACCACCATTTTTCTTCTGAGATTTTCTTCCTCTGTGTATTTAGGATTGTTGAATACAATATATAGCAGCCCTTTCTTCCTTATACCACAAACACAAATATTATTTTCCAGTTCCACCATCCATCCACTAGTTCAACTTGCTGCATCTTTTGCCATTATCAAAGTTTTATATTAAAATGCAAACAGACCTGTTGTTTCTTTAGGAGTTCTATATTCTTGTATTTATAGTTAAGTATTATATTTACCTGAAAAATTTTTTTTCCTTCTTTTTTTGGTATTGGGGAATTGCTTTACCACTGAGCTACAGCCCCATTTTTTTTTTTTTTTTTGAGACACAGTCTTGAAAAGTTGCTGAGGGTCTAAGTTGCTGAGAATGGCCTGGAACTTGGAACTTGTGATCCTCCTACCTCAGCCTCCCAGAACTTTGGGATTACAGGTGTACACCACAGTGCCTGGCTTAGAATTAATTTTTTATCTTCTTTCATATAGTTATTCAGTACCATTCATTGGATAACCTATTTTCCCCACTAAAATTCCACCTATGATCATGTTAAATTCCCTTATATCCCTATTTCTCATTTGTCAATCTAGTTCACTAGTTTTTTAGTGTAGTCCTATACCAATACCATATTGATTTGACAACAGTAGTGTCAGTGTTTTTTGGTATCTGATGAGGCAAACACTCAACTCTTTTTCCTTTTTTTTTTTTTTTCATATTTCCTCGGATAGTTGTCAGCATTTGTTCTACTAAAGAAAACTGGGATTAAAAAAAAAAAATAGGGGCTAGGGTTGTGGCTTAGCAGTAGAGTGCTCACCTAGCAAGTGCGAGACCCTGGGTTCAATTCTCATCACCACATAAAA